AGGATTTAGAAAGTAAGAAATGTTAGATTCTTATGTTAGATTCCTATTATGGTGGGTGAGAAGGTGAACTCAAGATCTCTTTAAGATAAAAAATTAGAAACCATGCACCATCTGCTTTAGCCATCTGGTTTGCGGTGAATAGGGCAACAGGGGCCAAAGGTTATCTGGTAATTGAGGTGCCTGGTCGAGGTAAATGTAAGATATATGGCTACTTGTCTGCCATTTATGGATACAAGGAAATAGAGCATTTTGTCTCCCATAAAAGGGAATAGGAAATGGGTGTATCTTTTATGATTGGTTCTAGCAAACAACCAATAGGAATTTCAACCAGGCTGATTGGACAGAGGCAGCCAAAGGAGGAGCAAGGGGGCTGGGCTGAGGAAATATAAGTGCTGGCCATCAGGGCTGGAGTAGGCAGAGCTTTGGTATCCATATACCACTGTGTCTCTCATTTATTTGTCTGACAAATAAATTATTATTTTAATTTCTCTATTGCTGCGTTGAATATTTCATTCCAGCTAAGCGATAACCACAAGCAGGGTGCTACACTACAAAGCGTGTTCTCCCTAACAGAGAGCACGTGTTGCGGTTGGGGGAACAAGCCACCCTGCCGTTACTGGGCAGATTTTGTGAGGAACCCAAGCCTTTAAGTGGTTAAAATTGGGTTGCTGGGGAGTTTTGATTGTTGCCAATTTGGAGGAGGGGTCAGAGTCTTTAAATACAGGGGCCAGACGTTGGACGTCCTCTTGGCCGTTTTGCACCGGATCACATGGAGCGCTTGGACAATCTTCTCATTGTCTGGTTACATTTCTTTATTTCTTTATTTCCCCTTTCTTTTTAATCCTCTCTAGTCCCTTAAATAATTTAATTCCCCCCTTTTCCTGTTCGATTTCCCACCCCACCCCTTACCCTGCCCTGTGGGAAGATTCTCCCTGTAACTGTGGCTTGCCTTTCCCAATAGGGAGAGAGCCCCCGTTAGGGGCTTTCTTTCGCAAAAAGGTTTGCCCCATTTCTCTTGTTGAAATTGTGGGGCTAGTCAGGGCTGTTCCCAGCTTAGCTGGAATCACTTTCGTTTATAGTATCCCCAAAGGTTGGCTTAATTTTGAGTGTGTGCAGTGCTGTTGGCCAAATTTTAAGCTAGCCTTGGGTGGGAGCACTAATTTGAGTTCCTTTAATATTGCTATGAGACTAAGATTCTCAAGAGCAGAAGCAGGGAGGCCTATTCGGCCTGCACATAACTTCCAAGCCTAAGTCTGCTACAGGTAGCACTTAATTGTTAAGTCTCTGACACGTGACTCATTCTCGCTATAGGAATGTATCTGCTTGCAGGCCCAGTTGCTGCTAATGTATATCTGAGGCAGACAGAGGGCCCCAGAGGCTCTCTGTGCCTCCAAGGACTATGAGCACTCTGTGTATGCTCTTGAACTATGCTGTTTCTGAACAAGTTTATTTTCTTTAAGTTTGTTTTGCCCTGATAGTGGCGACTGCCATTTTAGAGATGAGCCATTGTGGCTTAGTGGCTAAAGTGTAGGACTAGGACCTGGGAGACAGGGTTCATATCCCCTCTTAGCCATTGTTATAACAAAACAAAACAAACTGCTCCTTTTGGGCTATTCTGTTGCTGGGTAGTTAGGCCCATTTGTGATAAAAGAACTTTGGGTTTCTTGAAGGGGTGCTTCCCTCTAAAAGGGCAAGCAGGGGTACCTGGACAAGCTGTGGGCTACCTCAACTCTGCTATTTCACTGGAAACATTTATGCCTGGCCTAGCAGGTGATCCTAGGGCTTTGCCCTAGAATTCAATGGCCTGGAAGCGTTTCCGGCCTGAATAGTGTCCCCATGTGGTCCATGAAGCATTGGTTTCACTGGGTCAGCGCATAGTGCTGGTAATGCCTGGGTTGCAGGATTGGTCCCTGTATGGGACAGCTGCATGCTCCCCCCATTGCTCTACCTGGACACTTAAGTCCTTTTGTTGGTTACCTCACTGCGAGGGATGTAACGGGCGCCACGTTTGCAATATGCAAGCGGGAGAAAGCACCTTTGCGTGCCCGCATTGCAGTTTGTGTGTTGCAGGGCACGGCGCTGCACGGGCTGCAATTGCATTGCATTGCATGAGAGATTTGCAGTTGCATTGCACGGAGCGTGTGTGCATTGCATGGAGGGTGTGTGTGCATTGCACGGAGGGTGTAGTTGCATTGCACGGAGGGTGTTGTTGCATTGTACGGAAGGTGTGGTTGCATTGCACGGAGTGTGTGTGCATTGCACGGAGTGTGTAGTTGCATTGCACGGAGTGTGTGTGTATGCATTGCATGGAGGGTGTAGTTGCATTGCACAGAGTGTTTTTTGCATTGCACGGAGTGTGTGTGCATTGAACGGAGGGTGTGTAGTGCACGGAGTGTGTAGTTGTATTGCACGGAGTGTGTAGTTGCATTGCACGGAGTGTGTGTGTATGCATTGCATGGAGGGTGTAGTTGCATTGCACAGAGTGTTTTTTGCATTGCACGGAGTGTGTGTGCATTGAACGGAGGGTGTGTAGTGCACGGAGTGTGTAGTTGCATTGCACGGAGTGTGTAGTTGCATTGCATGGAGTGTAGTTGCATTGCAGGGAGTGTGTTTTGCATTGAACGGAGTGTGTAGTTGCATTGCACGGAGGGTTTGTGTGTGCATTGCACGGAGTGTGTAGTTGCATTGCACGGAGGGTTTGTGTGTGCAGTGCACGGAGTGTGTAGTTGCATTGCACAGAGTGTGTAGTTGCATTGCACGGAGTGTGTAGTTGCATTGCATGGAGTGTGTGTGCACTGCATGGAGTGTGTTTTTGCATTGCACAGAGTGTGTGTCTGAAAAGGAAGCTGGCTCGGCGGCAGCTTTGTCGGGACTTCTTTAAGGGTTCTGGCCAGCCTCGGCCCTGTAAATTTACATATCATGATGGCAGCACAAGATGCCCCCTGCCCAGCGGGGGCTGGAAGCTGGCAAGCAATAGCTCAATACCTTTTGCCCATATTCCCATTTTATTTAGGGATCCAGTTGTATATCGTTGCTAAAACATACCACTTGCCTATGGAGAAGCTGTCTGCCTTGAAGGAAGTTATTTTGTAATACTTCCTCTGTAGCAAGTGATGCTTCATCAGATCCGATCTTGCTGGGTCTCTTAATTAATCTTCCCACTAGGCCAGGCTGCCTGCGGCCTGAGGTCCCCTTACCTTTGTGTACGCCTACCAAGTGTGGTGAAGGCAGATATCAGGCGATGGTAGCAATTCCTGAATGTATGCAATAGTAGAATCATAGAATCACAGAGTTGGAAGAGACCACAAGGGCCATCGAGTCCAACCCCCTGCCAAGCAGGAAACACCATCAGAGCACTCCTGACATATGGTTGTCAAGCCTCTGCTTAAAGACCTCCAAAGAAGGAGACTCCACCACACTCCTTGGCAGCAAATTCCACTGTCGAACAGCTCTTACTGTCAGGAAGTTCTTCCTTATGTTTAGGTGGAATCTTCTTTCTTGTAGTTTGGATCCATTGCTCCGTGTCCGCTTCTCTGGAGTTCGCCATGGCAGGATACCTTGAACCCGCACAGGGATTTTCAGGTTCATGCTGGTGCTGCTGGATCTTTGCCCTTTGGTTTTTATTTCAAGGGATGCTGGTGTGCAAAGCTATGGCCTCAAGCCCGGTGTGGTGAGGCAATCATGTGACATAACTTTTCTTGAGTTTTCCCCATTGTAGTAGCAGTTCACATGTGGCCCGAGGAGTTCAGTGACCATTGGATCTGCTTTTGGTCTGATAACCAGGTAGTGGTGAGCGTCTTAGCAAAACAGTCCTCACGCTCTAGCACAGTCTCCGCCCCTCCGTTCATGCTTTCGAGCTGCGCCGCTTAAGGTTTAATATTGTGCTGTCTACTCTCCAAATTACAGGATCCTCTAATGATGTCGCTGACACTCTATCCCATTTTCAGATGAAGTGCTTCAGATCCTGGGCTCCAGACTCAGCTATTGCCAGACTTTTCCAGACCACCTGTGGCATTTTGACAACAATTAGTAATTACAGAGAGCAGCAGCTTCCATTTCCCCTTCTGCTTTTAGCTCTTATGGGAAGGCCTGGATGGATTTCTTAGCCTTAAGCTGGCAGTCCTCGGCCATTCAGATGAACTGGCCCCCATCCTCTGAGCAGATCCGCAGTATTTGGTCCACCTGCTGCAGATTGGGCGTGCGTTATAACTATCAGAATTCAGTCCGCTGCAATGTCTGTTACACTGAAGCTTTATTTTTCAGAGACCCTTGTATAAAGTTTGTAGTGCGCATGGCCTTGGAAGGTTGGAATAGGCTCCAACCTCATAGGACAGTGGGCAGGAAGCTGGTCAATTTTTACCTATGCAGTATCTGCAACAAGTTAAAACTTGTCTGCTGGTTAAAGATCAAGGCGAGACTCCTTTCAGTAGTCCACTGCATTTTCGCACTGAGGCTTGGGAAAATGGTTGTTGGAGCCAGCATGGGGCTGAGAGTCTGGAGGCTTATTGCTTCAGGACTTTTCCTTATCCTTTGGAGCTTGTCATTAGAGTTGGGAACTCTAAAACAGACTTAGTGGGCAGGAGTGCCACAATCAGGCTTCCCGCCACAGTTGAGGAGGGCCCTTGCCTGGTTATGGATAACAGAATATTTGGCTTTTCATTCCCTGGGGGCTGGCCCGCTCCTAGTGCATGAAAATGGGTTCCCGTTAGCCAGGCATCAATGTGCTTACGTCGTGCACCAGTTATTACGGCCTGCGGCTTGCTTACCGCTGAACACGCCTCATTCCTTACGATTGGGTGCTGCTGCAAAGGCTGCACACTGGGGGCCTGTCAGTAGACAGGATTGTGAATACGGGTCATTGGAAGTCTGACGCTGACAAGGGTTATATCAGGAAGTGTCACAATGATGTCTGTGCTGATGCTTGTCTGTTATTTCCTTTTTCATAGGAGCAGCTGTGCACATTTGGGCCACAGCATTGTACACTAGGCTGGCAAGCAGGTTGACGAGTTTGGACTGGGGCGCCATCTCAGTCTTCCTGCCCATGTGAACATATACTGGATGTCCAGATGGGGAATGCTTTGGGAGGAGATCCTTCCTTTGGTGCGGTCGAGTGTGACCTGTGCAGGTCCTCCCGCAGTGCTAGTGGTGCAGCTGGACGAGAATGACTTGCCGTCTTCCTCCAGCATAAGTTTGCATTCCTGCATGCAAGAGGGCTTGGATTGAGTTGATGGCAGCTCTCCCAGGACTCAAAATAATTTAAGGCATTGGTTCAAGGTGGTCTGGAGGGGAAGTTGGAGCACCTGTCCCCTCCAATGCGTCAAGAAGGATTCACCATGCTTTTGTCGACCCCTTTCGAGGGGTAGGGGCATGCAAGAGTCCCTGGGAGCATTTGGGGGTGAGCTTGAGTCTGATCCTGGTTCATTGCTCCCCCACGCTGTTACTGGTACTGACGATATGGTGGGGCCCAGTCGTCAGTGCTGCCCTGCTGAGGTCAGGTGCAGCCAGTCAGGAACCAATGCCTAGACAAACTACCACCGAGCAGGCCAGAAAGCATGTTAATAAGGCGGTGGACAATAGAATAAAATAAATAAAGTAAATAAAATAAAATAACAAATAAAATAAAATAGGTCCTTGCTTTAGGTGGTTCTGTAATATTGCACCCTGCTATTTTTCTTCAAGGCTCTTGCTCTCTTTAGGGCAGATGGGGTGCATCTTTCCCCTATGGGGAACGACACCTGGCGGGATGCGATTGCCTTGGGATTCATTGCTCCCCACAATGTTTGCTGGTACTGACGATATGGTGGGGCCCAGTCGTCAGTGCTGCCCTGCTGAGGTCAGGTGCAGCTAGTCAGGAACCAATGCCTAGACAAACTACCACCGAGAAGGCCGGAAAGCGTGTTAATAAGGCAGTGGAAATAAAATACAGGTCATTGGAAATCGAATGCATTCAAAGGTTATGTTCGTTAACATTATTGGTGTCTTACAATTTTTGCTTGTTTTATCTTAGGTTTAGCAGCTGTCCGCATCTGGATGGTGGGGCACAGCATCAGTGCACGGCAGTCCGGTTTGGGACCGGGTCTCGGCCTTCCTCCACATGTGCAGTTGCTTTGGCTGTCCAGACGGGGACTGCGCCAGCCAGAATTCCTGCCGCTGATTCGGAGGCAGGTGCTGCTGGAAGGGCCGCCCACTGCTGTTGGGGTGCAGCTGGGTGAGACCGACCTGGTTTCCATGGACTGTTTTTTCACTACGTGCTGCAATTTTGGGTGACCTGGAGAAGCTGCGGGCAGTGGTGCCAACAGCAAAAATATTTTGGTCAAAGCTTTTGCAACGACGTGTTTGGGAGGGTAGTCGTTGCCCAGCTGCCACTGAAAGGGCCAGGAAGCGCATCAATTCTGCTGTGTCTAAAAGATTTTTGAGCTGGGTGGAGATGTGATTTCCCATCCTGAGATTCTTTTTCAGGCTGCATCCTTTTTCAGAGCTGATGGCGCGCATCTTTCTGCCTCAGGGAATGAGGCTTGGCTGGGTGCAGTGGTGGCCAAGCTGAGGGCTTGGTTGGGTCTGTGAGTGGTTTGGCGGTGAGCTGTGGGCTCCATGGCGGTTAGGCATTGGTTAAATTGGTGCTTGGAGGGGTAAGTGCCTATCCCTCCAAATGATGCGGAAAGGGAATTCCGTTAAAGGAATCCAGGGGCTTGCCATTCTTTTCGTCCTTGTCCCTGGAATCGGACTTGGGCCGTGCAAGCCCCACCGGAACATGAGGGTGAGAAGTGTGAGACTGATGCCCAGCTTCATTTTCTCACCCAATACTTGTTTCCCACGCTGGCTTCCGCTGGAATCCGGAAGTCAGCTCTGTCCCTGGGGCAAGGACAGATAGTCATAACCAATGCCTAAGCAACCACTCACATTTTTTGTATTTTGAATAAAGTTGTGGCCAAAATTATGCCAAAAACCTTAAACAAAAATTGATGTGTGAAGTGTGAATTTTTTGGGGGGTGGCATTGTGGGACTCAACACGCAAAGCGTGTTCTCCCTAACAGAGAGCACGTGTTGCGGTTGGGGGAACAAGCCACCCTGCCGTTACTGGGCAGATTTTGTGAGGAACCCAAGCCTTTAAGTGGTTAAAATTGGGTTGCTGGGGAGTTTTGATTGTTGCCAATTTGGAGGAGGGGTCAGAGTCTTTAAATACAGGGGCCAGACGTTGGACGTCCTCTTGGCCGTTTTGCACCGGATCACCCGCCCTCCCTCCCTTTAATAGGGTGGTTTTTTCTTGATCGCTTGACCTTGCTATGCCTGTCATGGGGTCGTCCGCCTTGGAGCGGGGGCCTGGTAGGAATTTTGCCATCTGGCTGATTGGCTGGTGCCATTTGGTTTTTGCCTACTGCGTAGCAAATCGTCACAACTTGTAAGGTTGGCGGTTAGGCATTGGTTAAATTGGTGCTTGGAGGGGTAAGTGCCTATCCCTCCAAATGATGCGGAAAGGGAATTCCGTTAAAGGAATCCAGGGGCTTGCCATTCTTTTCGTCCTTGTCCCTGGAATCGGACTTGGGCCGTGCAAGCCCCACCGGAACATGAGGGTGAGAAGTGTGAGACTGATGCCCAGCTTCATTTTCTCACCCAATACTTGTTTCCCACGCTGGCTTCCGCTGGAATCCGGAATCCAGCTCTGTCCCTGAGGGCAAGGACAGATAGTCATAACCAATGCCTAAGCAACCACTCACATTTTTTGTATTTTGAATAAAGTTGTGGCCAAAATTATGCCAAAAACCTTAAACAAAAATTGATGTGTGAAGTGTGAATTTTTGGGGGGTGGCATTGTGGGACTCAACACGCAAAAATCAGCGTTCTCTCTCGTTCTGTTTTTTGGTGATGTGCAACTGGGAGACTCTTAGCAATTTTGTCCCGACATCTCTCTCTCTTAGCTGTATGAGTGAGTGGAGTCCCTTTCAAAACAGTCAAGATCTCTGGCTACCGGAAGCTACCATCTCCTACCTATTTGATCTCATACTGTGAGAGGTCCGTTGTGCATTCTGGGCTATTTGCCTAATGATACAGTAACAAGCAGCTAGAATAATACCGTATTAGTTAGGACAATTCATCACTGTGGTTGCTGATGTTAGAAACAGGTTTGGCTCTCATCAATGCGAGTGAAATGAACCCAGCATCATCTCTTGTTCCTCAGTTGAGCATCGAATAGGATGCGGAGACAAGCATGACCCGGTGCAAATTTTGTTTCCAAGGTTTTTATTCTTACGAGACCCCCCCCCCTTTTGATTGATTGATTGATAAATTTATTGTCATTGTCCGTATATACACAGTATACACAACAACGAAAATCAAACACCCACCCGAAGACCGGGTTCACATACACATTTGCACGTATCTCCAGCACTCTCATCCTATTCAGACATAATCTATAAAAACATATCATACTCCAGAATGTAACATAACCTAGTAAAAGCATAACATAACCTAAAAACCTGTCTCATTCCTTCCTACTCCCTGCTTGCTATTTCTTGCAACTGGCCCTGAGATCATTATTTAGTGCAATCAGAGCTCTTGGATAGAAACTATTCAGAAGGCGTGTGGTTCGTGTTTTCATTGTCCTATATCTTCTGCCCGAAGGCAACAGTTCAAAGAAGTTGTGAGCAGGA